TGAAGATGAATACTCACATTAGGCATTTCTTTATTGCATCTAAATTATTTCACTTCATTAGGTTTAGAAATTTATTCTCTGCGGTTAACAGATTTCAAATGTTTTAATTAATTTGTAGTAGACAGTAAGGTATATACGATGTTATAATTTTGCCTGGCTATTATCTTGACTATTGAGGTTAATGATGATATGGAATTTGAATTCTATTAAATTTACACTATGTGGTTGGGGCATTTTGCATAGTAATATGGTTACTACTCCTATTTATCATATTATTTGATTGGTATTCGCATGTATTTTTAAATTGACAATTTCTTTATGAATATCACTAATCATGATGTTACATCTATATGATCATTAAACTAGATAATGTTTTATAACTGTGATTGTTTCAACTGTGCATTTCTGGCCCAAGGACAAGAAAGGTATGAGGCCCTATATCCCAATTAGTCTTCACCTTGAATCCTGAAAAGAGCTATGATGGGAAAGATGAGATTTATTGCTCATGATTTATGATTGTGCTCTGCCAATTGTTCATCGATTCAATTTATTGGGTTTATATATAATATTGTTTGAATGACCGTTTTTATAAAACATAATGCTACTGCCAAAATGTTTGATGATGTAGCATTCTTTTCGGTTTAAAATGCTTTATCAGTGATCTTAAAGGTTTGTTGGATTACACATATTATACTGTGAATTTTTATTGGTCGACTCAATGGATTGATCGAAAATCGGTTAGTTGACGGCCCTGATGAGGAGGGAGCTGTGTCAAAAGATCAGGTATCGATTTAAATAACCAATCTGTACTCTAAATTGTTCAGTGTTATGTAAACACAGCTAAGTAATATACTAACTTCATTTATCTTAAATTCACATACATGATATCATAATATAGCTCCTCCTTACTTTAAAAGAGTTGATATCTCCTCGGCAGCAAAGTTTTAAAAAATGTACGTCTTGAGAATGATTATTTCTTACCTTAGTCTCGCGCCCTCTCCTAACTTGTAAAACACAGAGAATGCTGTTTGTCACTGGATGCAGGTAAAGTATTTAATTCCATTTGCCCATACCGACATAAGATCAGCTGAGTCGTTACATTTTCAAGACCAACTTAAAACATACTTCTTTTCTCTTGCATTTGATTGATTTTGCATTTACTAGGTAAAATGAACTTGTCTGTCTATTTTCAATTTAAACTATAAAGTCAGTTAATGTAAGAGCCGCTTTAGAAAGCACTGGAGTTTATCTCCAGGATAAATTATATCGAGTTATATGATTTAGCTTTAAGGCGGTTTATAAATGTTGCTATTTATTTTTTATTATTATTATCATTATTATTTTCTAATATTGATATAAGGGTTCGCACAGTGGGAGTTTTATAAAAACCACTTTTAATTTATTGACCTATTATACCTAGGGGTAGTTTTTAAGAACACATTTAATTTATTTATTATTTTTTTAGTATTTATTTTTGGTGACTGTATCACCCAGTTGTAAATTTGATAATTGTACATTTTGACGACACATTGACTGAATGTTATTTTATTGCTAATTTATATTCTAGATATTTTATTTATTTTTCAACAGACGACAACTTCCTGTTTTTTCTTCTATATACGTTACTCATATCTCTTTTACAGACCTTTTTTTACAAGGACATTGAACAGTGATACTCACATTAGGCATTCATTATTGCATTTAAATTATTTCACTTGCATTTGGTCTTAGAAATTTATTCTCTGGATAACAGATTTCAAATGTTTATAATTTTGTAGTTGACAGTAAGGTATATAAGAAGTTATTTAATATTGCCTGGGCTAATATATTGACTATTGAGGTTTAATGATGGTATGAATTTGAATTCTATATAAATTTTAACACTATGTGGTTTGGGGCATTTTGCATAGTAAATAAGGTTACTACTCCTAATTTTCATATTATTTGATTGGTATTCGCATGTAATTTTTATCTGATCAAGTTATTTATGAATATCACTAATCATGATTAACATCTATGTGATATTAATTAGGATTAATGTTTATAACCTGGATTGTTTCAAAACCTGTGCATTTATGGCCCAATGACCAAAGAAGGTATGGAACGGCCCTTATCCAATTAAGTGCTTCAAATGATCCCTGAAAGAGTATGAGGAAAGATGAGGTTTATTGCTTCATGATTTATGATTGTGCTCTGCCATTGCATCACTCGATTCAATTTATTGTATATATATATTGTTTGATATACCGTTTTTTATAAAACATAATGTACTTCCAAATGTTTTATGAGGTAGCATCTTTTCGGTTTAAATAGCTTTATCAGTGATCTTAAAGGTTCTGTTGGATCTACACTATTATACTGTGAATTTTTATTGGTCGACTCAACTGATTGATCGAAAATCGGTGTTTGAGGCCTTATGAGGAGGGAGCTGTAAAAGATAGTATCGTTAAATACCCAATCAGTACATCTAAATTGTAGTGTTATGGTTAATACACAGCTCAGTAATACTTACTAACTTCATTAACTTAAATTCACTACATGATATCCTAATATAGCTCCTCTTATTAAAAGAGTTGATATCTCTAGGCATCAAAGTTTTTTTTAAAAATGTAGTCTTGAATAATGATTATTTTTACCTTAGTTTTCGCCCTTCCTAAATATGTAAACTCAGAGAAAGAAAGCTTTTTAGTCACTGTGCAGTTAAAGTATTTAATTCCTTGCATACGACATAAGATCAGTGAGACAGTTAATCTTTCAGACCCAAAATTAAAACATACTTCTTTTCGCTAGCATTGAAGTATTTTGCCATTTACCATAGGTAAAAATGACTTGTCATGTCTAATTTATCAATTTTAAACATACGCTCAGTTATGTAAGAGCGCTTTAGAAGCATGGAGTTTATCTCAGATTTAAATTAATATCGAGTTATAGGATTTAGCTATAAGGCGGTTTATAATTGTTGTATTTATTTTTCTTTGTATTTCATTATTATTTTCTTAATATTGAAAATAAGGGGTTCGCACAGTGGGAGTTGTATAACCACTTTTAAATTTTATTGACCTATTTATACTAGTGGTTGTTTTATAGACCATATTTATTTATTTACTTATTTTACTTAGTATTTATTTTTGGTGACTGTATCACCGTTTTAACATTAGATATTGTACATTTTGACGCCACATTGACTGATGTTATTTTATATTCTAATTTAATATTCTAGATATTTATTTATTTTACAACAGACACCAACTTCATGTTTTTTTTCTATATAAGTTACTCATAATCTCTTTTTACGATTTTTACAAGGACAGTGACAGATGATAATCACATTAGGCATTCATTATTGCATCCTAAATTATTTCACTTGCATTAGGATTAGAAAATTTTTTCTCTGGTAAACAGATTTTCAAATGTTTTAATTTAATTTGTAGTATGACAGTAAGGTATATAGAAGTTATTTAATTTTGCCTGGGCATATTATATTATAAAAACTGACTATTGAGCAGTTTAATGATGATATGGAATTTGATTCTATATATATTTACACTATGTGGATGGGGCATTTTGCATAGTAAATAATGGTTACTAATCCTTTATATTCATATTATTAGATTGTATTAGCATGTAATTTTTAAATTGACAAATTATTTATGAATAACTCTAATCATGACTTAACATCTATATGATCATTAACTAGATTAATGTATTATATACTGTGATTGTTTCAACTGTGCATTTCAGGCCAGACAAGAAGGTATGGACGGCCCTATATCCCATTAGTCCTTCAACTTGATCCTGAAAAAAAGAAGTATGAGGGAAAGATGAGATTTATTGCTCAGGATTATGATTGTGCTCTGCCAATTGCATCACTCGATTCAATTTATTGTATTATTAAATTGTTTGATTGACGTTTTTATAAAACTAAGCTAACTTCCAAATGTTTTTTATGATGTAGCATCTTTTCGGTTTTTTTAACATAGCTTATCTGTGATCTTAAGGTACTGTTGGATCTACCACTAAGTCTACTGAGAATTTTTATTGGTCGACTCAACTGATAGATCGAAAAAATCCGGTTTTGTTTGAGGGCCCTTTGGGAGGGAGCTGTCAAGTCAGGTATCGGTTAAATACCAATCAGTAATCTAAAATTGTAGTGTTATGTAAACACAGTCTCAGTAATACTACTAACTTTATTATCTTATAATTCACATACATGATTTCATAATATCGCTCCTCCTTACTTAAAGAGTTGATATCTCCTAGGCAGCAATGTTTTAAAAATGTACGTTTGATAATGATTATTTTTACCTTAGTTTCCGCCCCTCTCCTACAACTATGATAACACAGAGAATGCTTTTAGTCACCTGTGCAGTTAATTATTTAATTCCTTGCCATACGACATCAGATCAGCGGCGTCTGTTACGTCTTTCAAGGACCAACTAAAACATACTTCTTTTCTCTAGCTTTGATTTGATTTTTGCATTTTAAATAGGTCAAATGGAACTTGTCATGTCTAATTTTCAATTAAACTAAGCTCAGTTAAAGGGTAGAGCCGCTTTAGAAAGCACTGGAGTTATCTCCAGGATTAAATTATAATCGTGTTATATGATTTAGTATAAGGCGGATTATAAATGTTGTATTTATTTTTATTATTATTATCATTATTATTTTTTAAATATTGAAAAATTAGGGTTCGCAAATTGGTAGTTTTATAAACCACTTTTATTTATAGACCCTATTATACCTAGTGGTGTTTATAGACCAATTTAATTTATTTTCTAACTATTATACTTAGTTTTATTTTTGGTGACTGTATCACCAGTTTTACCATTTGATAATTTACATTTGCGACACATTTGACTGACTGTTATTTTATATTCTAATTTATATTCTAGATATTTATTTTTTTTCAACGACGACAACTTCCTGTTGTTTTCTTGATATAAGTTACTCATATCTCTTTTACAGACTTTTTTACAAGACATTGACAGATGATACTCACATTAGGCATTCATTATTGCCCCCCTTTGAGTTAGGTCACCCTGCCCTTCAGAGAGAATAGCCAGATTATAATGGGCCTCGTATAGCTCCTGGTTTATCGTCATGGCTGAGAGGAAGTAAGCTCTGGCTTGCTCTACTTTTCCTTTCCTCATCTCCAGAACCGCCAGATTGTTGTACGCCTCCGCGTGGTTGTTATCCGAGATAAGAGCCATTTGGAATGCTTGGTATGCCAGGTTTGAGTCCCCAATTCCCACAGCAATATGCCCGACATTATACCACACATCCGCCACGTTTTCCTTCTGAGCAAGACTTATCGCACGCTCGAAACACGTCAGAGACATATCATACTGCTGCGCATAGAAACAGCACAGTCCGATATTATTGTAAAGTTCAGTGTTACAAACCCCCATTTGCAGCAGCCGTCTGAAGGAACGTAAAGCTATTTCAGGCATGTCAGAGTAAAAGTTATGAGTACCAATACAAGCTATAGCCTCCACACATGACGCATCATACTGGAACACTTTCTTGTAGAACTTAACCGAGCTATCCAGATCTCCTAACCCCTCGTGTACTCTGGCTCCCCCGATTATCAGGGACACCTCCCCCGGGAACACTTCCATTCCCTTCTCAAACAGGTCCAGAGCAGCTAGCGGCTGATCTAACTTCACAAACACTTTAGCCAGGTACAGGTAGTTGTCAACTGTTGGTTGTTGTTTCAGGGCGGATTGGAACTGCTTCTCCGCGTCTCGGAAGAGTCCCAATCTGTAGTAGCACTTGCCGAGCTGTTGTTTCCACCACCAATCATCATATTTGGACGACTGTGTAGGGAAGGTAAATAAGATGAAAAATCAGGTAAATTAGATGAAAAATCAGGTAAATTAGATGGAAACGTTCACAGTACAATAATGATAAGAAGCAAGTGTGCATATCTATATCACGAGAGCAAAGCAAGAAGCAACGTAAGAGCAATCCGTTAAACAGCTCAGTTTCCAGTTTAACACAATATTAGCAATCAGCAAACCAGAGAGCGTGATATTACATATTGTGTGTAACATGCTAGTTCATGATGGTGTTATGTTATCATATTATAATGATAAACATTTATCCGGGAACTTGGTAATCTGTCGAACGCTTGTTTACAAACTGTTAACGGACGTTGGTCACGTGACACAAAACACGGAAACTTAAAGCACAGCCCGGTAAACAAACGGTTAACGCACAGCCAACAAACAGACGTTAAAAAAGCGCTTAGTGCTAGTGGTAAATAACTGCAACAAGGTGATGAAGTATCCGTGGACAGATTACCAGATTGCCGGAGTATTTCTAATTGTTTGGTGAGTTCGCAATACCACTTTTTCTAGACACATGACTGATGACACCCATCTACCTGTCACGTGTCCAGAAAAAGGAGATGAAAACCCGCAACTTTAACATCATGTTTCTAATCTTACCTGAGTTGCAAGAGCTGCAAGTTCGAGGGAGTTCTTGATGTCGTTCTCGTGGTAGAAGAGATAATCGAACAGGACTTTGTTGAGACCAGGCCTGTCAGCGTACTTTGCAAGATTTAGTTGAGAGGGGTTGATGAAAGGGCCGTCAGGCTCTGACAGCATGGACGCAGTTCCCAAACGTACAAATCTACCGGACGCACTGCAATAAAATGCGTTTTTATTTTATTGCAATTTTTACAGCCTGCCGGCTTTGTAAGTACCCGATTAAAAACCGGAAACCGATTAAAAACCGGAAAACCGAACGATCAGGTGATAAGTGGTGTGGAATATGTCGAGACTGGAATAGGTCGAGACTTGGGATAAAAGCAATTTACAAAACATTTATAATTCAGTTTGTTGTCTACGCAACAACGGATCACAAATCAGATGCAGCCAATTTAGGGCCACATTGTCCTTACCCGGAATAACAATCGAATGAATGATAATGACGGTCATAGATCAGTGGGCGGCTTCGTTTAATAAAGCCCAAGCTAACAAAGTGGCCCGAATGGTACATTAATGCAACTTTCTAGTTCTACGGAAATTGAACGATTAATGATTTCCAGTAGGAGCACGCATTTTCAGGGAAAGTTGTAGCCTTCTAAGCCCACTAATGGTATATTTATCTAATAATCTAATCGTATCCCCTCTAGGTTGCTCACTTCATGGCCCATGTATACATCACATTGCAGAGGCACATATTAGGTGCGGTAACAAAATCGAAATTATGCGGTACCACACCCGACTATAAAGGTTAAATGTGCGGTAAGGTGCGGTAAATTTTTACCAATTATGCGGCAAATGTGCGGCGATTTTTTCGAAATTTGTGCGGGAATTGTGCGGTTTTCTTTTGCATTTTCTCAAGGACTTTGGAAATTCTAAACGTATAACCGCCGCTCTTATCAAAAATAGGTCTGTTTATGTGTTACTGAAGGTGTAGTTCTTTACTAAGACCATGATTGAACCTAATATTGAGATTCAGTTATCCGAGAACAGTGACTTGATCTGGTAGAGATCAGGAGACAGTTATTTGAAGACGCCTCTTGATAGAGTCGATCAGATCCCATGCAGGTATCTTCTGTTTCTTGTGTGGTGAGCTTGATGATGGGTCACTGGAGAGGCCGACGACCAGGCCCCCTTATTATTAGGGGTCCCACGGAGATCAGATCATATAACCAATTAGTGACGTATAATTAGTGATGTGATCCATCAGTAGAATTTAACTGACCTAGAAATGGGCTAGATACAGTACGGGCTTCAGTAAAGTAAATCGTTGAAACACCCTTTTGATCGCAACGTGTAGCAAGTAAACCGGAAAAAAATATGTTAGGCTCATAATGATCATAATGATCATTATGCAAACATTCACATGACGATGACTAGCCCACTTAAGGAATTGTGCGAGAAGATGAACAATCAACAAAGGCAAAGATGAGGAAATAAAATAATGTGTAATGCGTGTTAGGCATAAGGTAAGTTAGGCATAAGGTTAGTTAGGAGTTAATTTGTTAAGTGAAATTGAATCATGAGATTTGGAACAATGAGAACATTGATCAATTGTTAAGACAATATATACAGACAACATCTCATGAGGGTAAAGGAAATATTTCTATGAACGTAGTGATCAAGAGTGTCAGCTTTATACTCGGACGACGAGCCCTCGGTCCCCACAAAAGATAAACTTTAGAATTATAGTTAAGACTAGTAGTACAATCTGTGTAAAAGAACTAATGGTCAGTCTATAAAACACATGAAAAGCAGTGTGCTCCATACCCCTTAGTCTCTAGCTTTGTTATCAAAACACGTGATTCGATCATGTGATGTTATCTCATTGTAAACAGGGTTTATTTGTTTTACTACGTGTAGTATGGTAAAGTATTAACACAATTTAACTAATAATATTATGTGAACAGAGTTGACATGTGAACTCTACTCTGTATCTAGCCCATTTCTAGGTCAATTAAATTCTACTGATGGATCACATCACTAATCATACGTCACTAATTGGTGACATGATATGATCTCCGTGGGACCCCGAATAATGAGGGGGCCTGGCCGTCGTGCAGCCGGTCACTGTCTGTAGCTGTTCGTTTCTTTAGGAAACGGTCCATGACGTTGTGATGTGATATAGAGTAAGCAGATGATGTGGTGAAGTTACGAATGATAACTGATACACTATAATCGAAGTACGGTAACGACGAGGGTTCCATAACGGCCTGGGTCACGGACCCGAAAGGGCCTGGGATCACGGTCCCGAAAGGGCCAGGGTAACGGTCCCGAAAGGGCCTGGGTCACGGTCCCGAAAAGGCCTGGGTCACGTGGTAACCGGGTCACGTGAGCACGTGGCCTAGGCATGAGTTCCAAAAGGGCCTCGGTCAGGGTCCCGAAAGGGCCTGGGTCAGGGTCCCGAAAGGGCCTGGGTCAAGGTCCCAAAAGGGCCTGGGTCAGGGTCCCGAAAGGGCCTGGGTCACGTGGTAATTAGGTCACGTGGCCTAGGTATGAGTTCCAAAAGGGCCTGGGTCACGGTCCCGAAAGGGCCTGGGTCAAGGTCCCAAAAGGGCCTGGGTCAGGGTCCCGAAAGGGCCTGGGTAACGTGGTAACTGGGTCACGTGGCCTAGGTATGAGTTCCAAAAGGGCCTGGGTCACGGTCCCGAAAGGGCCTGGGTCAGGGTCCCGAAAGGGCCTGGGTCAGGGTCCCGAAAGGGCCTGGGTCAGGGTCCCGAAAGGGCCAGGGTCACGGTCGTAAAAAGCCCGACTTTTAAAATATTTTGGTTTTTACACTCGAAAATCTTAACGCGAAAATTTCAAAATTATGCGAAATTACGCGGAAAGTGCTAGATTATGCGGAAATATGCAGAAAATTACAAAATGTTCGGAATAGTGCGGAAAACAATAAATTATGCGGAAATGTGCGGAAAACGGTAAATTGTGCGATCCCGCACCCATCGCACCTAATATGTGCCTCTGCATCACATAAGCCTGAGAAAAACTGATTCTTGAGGAGATTGATTCTATTTTACTCCTAAATAGGATTATTATCTATGATTATACATTGAAATTTAATTTATAAATATAGGAAATTATAATATGAAGATTAATAATAACGACCGAGGTACCCGGTATAGAAAGGCACGGTATAAAGAGGTTTGACTGTATTTATATATTATTATATTTAAAAATTAAGGACAGATACAACTTCATCTCTTAATATTTCATTCGTATTATATTCTAAATTATAAATATCAATATTGATCTACAATAAAGAAAGAGCGCTTTTATTATTCCAATTCTCAGAAAATAATAATGTCTGAATATTTTCTAACAGTAAAAGTAAGCAAGGTTTCTTAGAATAGATACGGCAGAGAACATTAGTAAACTGAAAGAAACACATACCTGTAGCACTGGTAACATACCTGCAGCACTGGTAACATACCTGGTAATAATTAACATACCTGCAGCACTGGTAACATACCTGCAGCACTGGTAACATACCTGCAGCACTGGTAACATACCTGCAGCACTGGTAACATACCTGCAGCACTGGTAACATACCTGGTAACAATTAACATACCTGCAGCAATGATAACATACCTGCAGCACTGGTAACATACCTGGTAATAATTAACATACCTGCAGCACTGGTAACATACCTGCAGCACTGGTAACATACCTGCAGCACTGGTAACATACCTGCAGCACTGGTAACATACCTGCAGCACTGGTAACATACCTGCAGCACTGGTAACATACCTGCAGCACTGGTAACATACCTGCAGCACTGGTAACATACCTGGTAACAGGTCGTGCAGTATGAGCAGTACGGGGAGTCATGATAGCTTGTTCCATGGTACCAGGTCTGCCAGACTGAGTACCCGGCCTCACAAACCCACTGACTGGTCTCCCTGACTGGGACATGGGTCTGACCCCCTGGGAGGTTGAGGTGCCCTGTCCTGATGTTCCTGGTTTCTTGAAGGAGGTGCCAGGTCTTGCTACCTAGGAGAGTCAGCAATGATACTATTGTTGTCGTCGTGTACAATTGTAAAACACCTCGATTGTAGATATTTTTGATGATGTCCTAATCAATTAGCATTAATTATGCTTTCGTCCTCGTGATTTACATTATAGCTATACAGACCAACCATGTTATATATTATCAATTTATATACAGCTAAATTTCAAATTTATAAGTGTTAGTTATTTGGTAATGATACAATACTCAACCTTATTATCATTGCAACAGAAAGTTATTTAATATAGTAATAAGTTCATGAAAAATGTGTTGCTATGATTCCAGGCTACAATTTTGATATGATCTACGGTCCAATTCTTGGTCTATCATGATCGGGGCTATATTTCTTTAACTGCCTCAGTCCTTTCGTAGACTGGAATGAGTTTGAAAAATGAGTTCAATTAATAGTTAATATAACAGCAGAATGACAATTGGTAAAGGCTCGCCTCAGAAGTGAGATGTAAAATAAAAAGAAAAGTACCTGAGCAATACTATTGTCATCCATAAGCATCTCAGCAATTCCATCTGCGTCCGCTTCAACTTCATCAACATAAACTTGTTCTGTCAGGGCTTTAGCTTTCATGAACCAGGCACATTGATCATAAGGATTTTTCTCCAGCATTTTGGAGCAAATCTCTATACAGGAATCAAATTTCCTTCTTCTGAGGTAGCTCCGAGCTAAGAACAAAGGGTCGAGTTGCTTTTCCATGAGAGACATTTTGACTTTCTAACAATAGGAATTTGTGTGAATCAGTTTAGGAATACCTTTCAAACAACTTTCAGTTATATAAAAGTATAAACTTGACTTATATAAACTTAATAAAAACTATACAGTATAGAATAAAATCATCAATACACAAAAAGAACACATTATAAACTAGATCAATACGTTAAACCTTTTTCGAATTCAGTGTTAACTTAAAACGGTGGGGGAGTGTGTGCTGTGGGAATAATCTCGGTTTGTCATCCCGCTGTTTGCGAGGACTCCTCACAAACAGCGGGATGACAAACCGAGATTATTCCTACACACTCCTACCTCAAGCTCACTGAGGAGACATAGCAAAAACTATTTGATTTATAAGTACTGAAAAAATTAAAAGGTCTAAAATTAAATTTGGGCTAATATAATTGTAGTCTAATCTATACTAATAATCCCAAAATGTGTGTGTCTGTGTGTCTGTCTGTCTGTGGGTAATTTCCGAACAGCTTAATCAAGAAAACAGTTGGAGTTATGGGCATGGTTTTTATTGGTTTAGTGCCGACAAAACTCTGACGAAACCAAATGATTAAAGTTTTTTTAATTTTTATATTCGGGAGATGGTTTAATTGGTGGTTTTGTGTATCATTAGTGGTATTGTAATACTAGCCTGTTGTCATTTACTACAGTGGTGGGTTAGATTCTGGAGGCAGTGCAATACTGTATCATCTATAATCTGCAATAATTAGAGTGTATGCTTCATGAATTGCTTATTTTGAGTTTGTATGGATGTTTTTCTATTTTCTGAGTTCAGTTGTATGTGGTCAATGGTTTTCATCCCCCGATAATGATGATGGTAATTATCGAAGGAGATAAGTAAAGAGCTAAAAACATTATGCCATGTCTCAAGATACATTATAATCAGGGGTCTAATTGTATAATGATGGATGGCAGAGGCGGCTCGTGGGAGCTGGCTGGCAGTTTTGTTGGGGGTCCAATCGATGGACTGGGGGGGGGGGGGGGGAGGGGGCTTGGGAGCCGGCTCAAGCTGATCCCTCCAAACTACCGAATACATTACACACAGGGCCTTGTTATATGTAATGTGTAACACTTTACAGGCGACAGCAAACAAAAACAAAAACTTATAACATGGTTGAAACAGGACACCACACGTGTACAATCTTAGCCGCGCAGTATCATAGCAGTCAATAGTTCAAACTGCAAAGGGTCCTGGACCCTCAAATCGAGGCAAATCATAATAGATTACCTGTAGTGGGATGCCCACGATGTGCTTTGTAACGTTTACAATTAACTATGTGTTAAAACTGCGCGGCTGAGAAGTCCAATGGTAGGGTTGGACTCCCTACAACACAAAATTTCACGAAGATCATGCATGCGCTTACATTAAAACGTATGATAGTGAATAAAGAGCTTTATATTGCGATTTGTTATTTCCTAACACTATTACTAATTACTATTTCTATTTTAAGCACCAGCCACCAGATAATAATTTTAGGGCGTCCACGGACGCCTGGACGCCCTCAATAGCTGCCTCTGATGGATGGAGTGTGCTGTCTGAGCTCTACACCAAGTTATTTAATTACTGGCCGATATATTGTGTTGGGGGCTCAGAATTAAATTTACTTTTTAATGCAGCGAGTTTGGACTGAGCGAGTTCATGCTTTTGCACTGTTAAATTAACTTTTCAGCCGTTTCTAGTTTTTTTTGGTTAAACATCAAGAAGAAGATGATTGGGGAATCATATCTGGGGATCTAAAAGGAAGACAAAACCTGTATTAAGCAGAGTACAATCAATACATGTGATATCATACTTATAGATAAATTTAAAATTGTAAGTTCAACCCCACGCAGGGCCTGCATAATCATCAACATACAGCTCACAAAATTGAATTATAAAATTCAACTGTATGTGCACGAAAATTTATTTCAATCAATAAAATGTTTCAAACAGTATACACATAATGTCACAACGACCCTATATAAAAATAACCCTTAAAAACTCAATATTTTGAAAATCACCCTTGGCCTTGCAGCCCCAAGTTCAAATCTAAACTGTCTATATTGACAAAGTTCTTTCTCGCCCCTCTGTCTCCCCGGAGAGACATTACCGTCGTTCTTTAGAATTCGAAACGACGGCGCTTCCTAATGTATCCCACAGCATCTGAGTACCTCTGCCCTGTGTGGTATTCCATCTCACAAAATTAGGCACTCCAATCAATTAGTCACTCCTATCAACTTACCCAGCCAAACAGTCATATCATAAGCAGAAACGGTCCAGTACTCAAATATAACAAACCAAAATGAAAATAATCCTACTTTCTACAAGGTTCGGATATTGAAGTCAAAAGAAGGTTTCGTGATCTATATCTCACCTTAGATATTAAGCTAGATACTGATAGTAAGCAGTGCTCAGTTTTGAATTTTGAGACCAAGCAAACGTCCCAAGATCTCACCTAAGTTATTCAGGTAATATGCCTTCTTTTGTATGTTTGGATCACAAATTACAATAACAAGCTACATAACAGAACTCTCCTCGGATATTCAGGTTACGTATTGTCCAATCCTTAATAGTCCAGATTTTACGAGTCCGAATAATATAAGAGGTCAAAAGATTTTTTTGCTGTATAGTACGACTGCAGTCCTCGAGATCTCAACTCGTGTCATCAAAATACTAGACCTTTATAAAATAGGATATATTTAACTACGAAAACAATTTTGCTTGAATTACAAATCAAAAGTAATAAGCTCGTGTGATTGGTGTTAATAGCTTTTTATAAAGACAAATAATCAAAATTTACTGGGCGGCGCTCAGCATTGGCTTTTACTAATTCGCTCGCCCAAAAATTTCACGTGACATTGGTTTTTATGGTTTTGCAGCCGTACAAAACGGTTTTACATAAACCCTAATCCCAACCCTAACCCTAACCATAACCCCGAAGCTATCCATAACTCTTACCCATTACCACAACCCTAACCCTAACCCGAGCCCTAAACAATCGAATTCATGTTTTACTAGCCTGTCACGTGACCAAAACGGTTTTTGCCCATAACTCTCCAGGGAAGCATTTTCACCCTACGTCATGGGGTGATTCGGAATCAGCGTCCAAAAATACACCGATCCAGATCAATTTCATCCCCAAAGGGCCTTTTAACAAGAATTTTCTTAAAATTTGGGTGAGCGATTTAGTAAAAGCGCTCAGCCTGTCATTCAACCGAATCTCTGTTCGGTTTTTATATTTATGTTTTATGAACATAAATATAAAAACCTGGGCTTACCAGGTTGATCAAAATTTGATTTCTATTATTGTTATTATGTATTACCAATTAATACAATTCAAGAAAACAACATTTTTTAAAAATGACTCCAAACGCGACGCACCTAAGCCGCGCGTTTTAGATTTTACAAAATTAAAACAATCTGGTTGACAATTATAAAATAAATACATAATTTATGCAGTTTACTCAAAAAATGCTATAAATAAAATATTACCAAACGTACGACCAGGGCACGGCACACAACACATTTAAATAGGAAAATTAATTTAATTTTGGATTGCAAACAATTTAATAACAAATAATGAATAAATTTACAATTTAGTAAACTAAAAATCTAGCTTGCTATTTAATTTAAATATTAAAACTTGAAGCCTCCGAGTTTGGTTGACGATGTCAACCCATCGAGATCGTTGCTCTGCGAAGCAGAGCAATAATCGACGATGCGAAGCAAGAATGCTAGTTCGCGCGGCGCGTCGAAGCGGCGAAGTCCTCCAACCTCCGAGTTAATTTATGAAGATCAACATCAACTTTTCAGTAAATTTTTGCTTGTTGAAAATGACAATGCAAAAACTTAATTTAATTATTCACGAAACAAATATTCATGTTCACAATCTAATTTATAAACACTTATGCGCGGCGTAGTACAGCACATTTTCAAAACTGTATATATTTATAATCGAGCGCTATCTATTGGTATGATATATTCAACATCCTTAGAGCAATTCCTCATTGCTTATGGTGATTAAATAACACTCACCGATTGTATTTGAATTAGACTTTGATTTACAAGGTGTTTATAAACTTTCAGTCTTTATTGAATTTATATCGAAATTTGTAATGTAGGTTAACAAATTAAAAAATTACATCGTTTATTTTGTCAATACTAAAAAATAAATCGAACTTTGCTCACTTCGGTAAATACAGTTCAAGGGGGCTATATTTATGAGTCGCATTTAACCTTGATTTTTCTTGGAGAAGTTATCTTTTGACTCTTAAGGTTGCGAAAAAAATGAAGAAGCAAACTTTAGGCTATAAATATAATATTGTCTATAAATACAATAAAGTTTCTAGCCTAAAGTCTGCTCCTTCATTTTGTTCGCAACCTTAAGAGTCAAAAGACCTAGGGACTTTGTCTTCCCCATGATTGATCTAATCGTTCCTTCCTGCTACCACTGTTAAATTGTATGTTCTGATCAATCACGGGAGACAAAGTAAAACAAGTTGTAATTTGGGTTAGTAACTAAATTGGTAACAATTGGTTAAATGGGTTCTTCTGGAGATATACTACGAATTGTTTCAATTTACCGTTCTGGCACCTCCACATCTCAGAGTGCTAACATCCCCCAATTTCTAACTGACTTTGAGCAACTCTTGGTTGATTTAGTAGACAAACCTGGAAAGCCCTTGATCATGGGTGATTTTAATATCCACATTGAAGACGAAAATGATTCAGTTGCACAAAGGTTTAATTCACTACTTAAGTCTTGTGGGTGGGTGTAACAAATTTCAGCTGCAACACACAGAGATGGGGGCATATTAGATCTTGTAATTACCAGGGATGGTTCTTTTACTCACGATTGCATTGAAGTTCTAGATCCTGTCATTACTGATTCTGGCACATCGTCTGACCACTACTTTGTTGCTTTTAATTGCAATGTATCTCCAGCACCCATAGGCACTCTAGAACCAATTACTTACAGAAACATTGCTTGCATAGACCTAGA